GGCCGCCCCTCCCGGGCCCTCCCGCCTGGCACAGCCTCTGAGCCCGGGAGGAGCGGCCGGCGTCCTCGGGCCCCAGCTCCAGGCTGGCCAGCTGAGCCGAGTGCGAGTGAGGTCTGAGGTCGGGGCCTGGGATTCACAGGCCATAAACAACCCCAAATGCGTCAGCTGTTTTGTTCGGAGCAGCCAGCTCAGCTGGACGGCCCCGCCTGGTCCCTCCTGGTCCCCCCCTGGGCGGGAGCGGTGGGTGGCCGGAGATGTCTTCTCGCAAACTCGGAGGTTTTCCTGGGGAGAAGGCGTCCCTGCCGCTACCTGTGTGGTCCCTTGGGAGGTCCCAGCGAACCCAGCACCTCTTTCTCTCCATCCTCCCCACTCCCCCTCGGGCTGTCCACAAACCCCTCCCCATCCACGGGGGACAGAAAAAGATAAGATGAGCCCAGCCGGTGTGGCTCAGTGGGTTGAGCATCGACCCATGAACCAGGAGGTCAGGGTTCGATTCCCGGTCAGGGCACAGGCCCGGGTTGTGGGTTCCGTCCCCAGTGTGGGGCGTGCAGGAGGCAGCCGGCCGATCCATGATTCTCTCTCGTCATGGATGCTTCTATCTCTCTCTCCCTCCCTTCCTCTCTGACATCAACAAAAATATAAAGTCATGAATGTGCAAACTGAGTTAAGAGTGCTAAGTAGAATATGGTTGTAGATATGATTAATGATACAATTGTAGGAAATGATTCATGTATGGTTATAAAATAGAATACAGTGTCAAAAAAAGCATCAAAGCTTAAAATGGATTTAAATTATTCTGAATCGTGGTCACAGAAGTAAAACGGGGACAGGGGCCGGGAACCCGGGAGGAGGCGGCACAGCTGCTACCGGACCGGCTTCGCACCGCCCCCACCCGCACTTTCTCTCCTTAGCAGCCTCTCGAGACGACGGATGCGAGCTGATCACCCTCTTGGCACAAACGGGGAGGCAGGGGGGTCGCCCAAGGTCCACGCACAAGGGATGGGACCAGCACTCTGTCCAGGGCCCCTCCCACCTACCAGCCTTTTGAAGGTCAAGGACTAGGGCGGGGACACCATAGAATGACAGCCAGGGGGGCCAATGAGAAGAGGCATCAGCCTCCAGTTCAGCACAGAATGACAGCCACCGGGGCCAATGAGAGGAGGGATTAGCCCCCAATGACAGCCACGGGGGCCAATGAGAGGGGCATCAGCCCCCAGTTCAGCACAGAATGACAGCCACGGGGGCCAATGAGAGGGGCATCAGCCCCCAGTTCAGCACAGAATGACAGTCACGGGGCGCCAATGAGAGGGGCATCAGCCCCCAGTTCAGCACAGGATGACAGCCACCGAAGCCAATGAGACGTTGGCCCTGCCCACCACACCCAAGTCTAGAAGGAGGACCAAGTGCATTTCAGGGGCAACCAAGACCAGAACACGGGGGGACTCCTGGCACAGCCCAGCAGATACATAGGGGATCCCGCCCCACAGGTCCCT